AAAAAATTAATAGAGTAAAAAAAAAAGTGCTAACATCAACCTTTTTTTCCTTCCGAATTCTAGAAATTAAATTCATTATTAAAACAGTTTGATGAGAATGTATTAACCGTTAATCCCATTAAGAATAACAAGCTTTCTAAGAGTCAACAGATAGTGTAGATGAAGTGAACAAACTAATAGAAACTCTTATATCTTCCATATCTTTCTGACATGAAAGAGATTAAACAAGCAGGAGACAGATGGGATAAAATAGATGTCAGAACAGATGGAGATCCCCAAAGACTCAGGAAACAGAAGCTGAGGAGACAAGGACCTTCCTCTAGATCAGAGAGTGGGAGGAAGCCTTGAGAGAAAGTCCTTTCCAGAACCAGCATGAAATAAATTGTGTTTGTTAAAGCCAGCCATTTGGGATATTTCTGCTACCGCAGCACTAGATCGCTAAGGAGGGAGCCCTGATGGTGCAGGCCATAGGAAGCTGCAATGTTAGTGCAAAGGGAGCGTCTCTGGCAATTCCACTCCTCCAGCGGCTCCTTGGGAGAATGATGCACAGTCTTCTCCAGTGCAGTTTACAGCCTCTGCAAACTTGCTGCACAGTCAACCGTGAATCAGTTCCAACTCAACTTCAGTGAGTTCAGCTGGGCCGCGCTAAGGAAATCCCTAAACACTTACACTTCCTATGTGAATTTTTAAATATACCATGTACTGGAATTTTCCATATTCTAGACATTGGGTGAAGAGCTTCATGTACTTTATTTTGTCTAATCTTCATTATCAATTTTTATTCTACAGATAAGAAAAATGAGCCTTGGAAAGCAATGTGTACAAAATCAAGAAATAAATGTAAAAATAACAGAGCCTGGATGGACTACCCAGACGGCTCCTTCCATCTAAACACATCCACATCACTGCTCTCTAGCCGCGTCTTCCCCTCCATCTCAAAGTTACCTTCCCGGTAGCAATCATCACTAACATTTACTAATTGGAACGCATGTATACACTAACAACTTAAATTGCTCTTCATAAAAAAATGCTCAAAGAGAGCAATGATCATCCTTGCCATTGTTATCAATGTCATCACCATAACTTGTATCTTATAACCAAGAAACTGAGGCCAAATGTGGCAGGGGGAGAATCAAAGTCTAGGTCTGTCCCATAATGGCACTCTTCCCACTGCGCTAGACTCATTCAGAGATGATACTCACCATCTGTCAGAAGAATGATGGCATGCCGGATCTCCTGCCAGGCCATTGAGCTAAGCCCAAGGCGCTGCATCTGGTTATTCATCATGATATAGACACTGCGCAGGGCCTGGTAGATGTTGGTTCCAGTTCCATTTTCATGGTCTAAAATATGTCAAGGATTCTCTTAGAAACTTCTTATCACCCTACTGAACAGACCCACTCTACTCCCCAACTATTGGAAGTATTTTTAATCATCTGTTCTGATCAAATCAGACCTTTGCCATCCAGATAAAACTTGGACATCATTGCCCTCCTTAAACATCAAAAGTCATTGCATCTTAATACTGTATAAGACCATTATTGTAAAAATAGAAGGATAACCAGTGAGATACATATAAAAGTTCAAATCAGGCAGGGGAAGTTGCTGAGAGGCTGAGGGCGGCAAGGGAAGGAAATCACAGGGTCACACAACTTGGTGGGCAGGAAGAGGGAGTGAAGTAATTAGGAAAGAGCCACTTGGGACCTGAGAAGACTAGGGTGATAGTGGTGATTGATTTTATAAAACACAGCACATGGGAATGTTCATATCAAACAATGTAAATGAATGTGTGAAACACAGTGTATATAAATGAAATACAATGTATACAAATTTTGTGTGCAACTCAGTATAAAAGGAAAAAATATGTATAAAGGAAGTAATAACTAACAAAACCAGGAATATATTAACTATAAATTAAAGGAAAACATGAATATAAAAATACACATGGGACAATGGAATGATTTGTTACTTAAACATAATTGTCTGTGAACTGATAATTTCTATTTCATAAACTAATGTGCAAGTAAGATTAATTATACCTTGAGAATAAAGTAAAAACCTTTAATTTTTTAAAAAAAGTCATTGCATCTTAAATATGTCCATTGCATAACCCCGCTCCCGCACTCTAAAATGCCAAGATCTGAAGACAGGTTTCCAAAGAACTTGGATTCTGCCCACACCCAGTAATTTGCTACCTAAACATTTCGTGGTTTTGTACAGTGTACAGGTGAGTAACAAGAGTAACGTGGCACCATGAAAACCAGATCTATTTCTTAGAGCACTCAGCACCAGATGATCCTGGCATCAGGATGGAACTGAAGACCTACATGAAGCACTTGAACTCCAAGTAAGCCATAAGTAGATAGGATTTGGGATTTCCTAACCAGATCCTGGATTTAGAAGTCAATCCTCACTTGAGGAACCAAAGCCTCAGAGCTCAGGGTCTTGCACTCCACCAAGGGGCCTCCTTCTCTCTTGTACAGAATCTGTCATCTCATTTGATGGCATCCATACCTTTGTAATTGACTTGTTCCAGACTACCGAGGACTTCGGTTATATCTTCAGAGTTTTTGTCCAAAATGTTCATGATGACTTTAGGCTGTGAGGCAAAGGTGATGATGGCAACACTGACCTTGATCTCAAAGCTAAAGAGCTGTGAAGTGTAAATAAGAAACAAGATGAAGGACTTCAAAACCAGAGAAGAGATGGTAAGAGATTAAGCAAAAGACACATGAGAAGGTAGAGAACCTGGACCAAGGCTGACAGAGGTATGTCTATGGGTGGGTACTCGCTAAGAAACAAAGGCCAGACACGAACATAAGCATCTACTCTCAGTTCATTTAATCCTCATATAAAATCTGTGAAGTGAGGATGATGGTCCCTATTCCTACAAATGAGGAAACCCAAGCTGGTTACCCTGTCTCCAATCTCACAGCTAGTAAGACATAGAAAAAGAATGTGAATCTCAGGTGCACTTTTGACGCCATATCTCCGTTGTGTTTTGCAGCTTTATAATCCTAGTGAGTTACTTAACTATAAATCCCAAGAGAGACTTTAAGGTGCATAAACACTGCTTTCTCAAAAATGTCATTAATTGCTATCAAATTGATGATGGTGCATGGTCAACTCCATTACACAGTAGAATTGCTTGCTAGGATTTTGTTGACTATAATCTTAACAGAAGCAGGGCTATCTTTAGTTGTTAAGTGCCACTGAGCCAACATTGACTCATGCCAGCCTTACATATAACAAATAGGAGCATTGCCCTATCCTGTGCCATCTTCACAATCTCAGCTATGCCTAAGCCTGTTGTTGCGTCTTTAAAATGCAGCTGGAGGGGTGGCGAGGCGGTGGCGTTCTGCGCGCGACCTTCAGCACTCTTGGCCGACTGGCTTGGCGTGCTAGCCCAGGTTCCCCTCGACGCACACCGCGCGTGCCCCTGTCCCCGCCAACCCCCCCAAAAAAAAAAAATAAAATAAAATGCAGCTGGTGAGAAAAATACATGTCTATATAAATGATTACAGCATAATTCCAAAGCAAAGTGCCAGCAAAGAATTTCAGTCAGTGACCTCCAAACTCTTCTGTTGGTGCATCTCATTGATAAAAACCATTTGAACATATACCACAATAAAGGCACATTTGCATATAAATTATATTGTGATGGGAAAGTCTGCTGTTAGGGACCTCTCCAAAGTACTGAAGAGCAATGGTGTCACTCTAAAGACTAAGGTGCGCCTGACACAGGCCATGGTCTTTGCAATCACTTGCTATGCATCAGAGAGTTGGACAAGGACTAGGGAGGATAGAAGGAGAATTGATGCCTTTGAGCTGTGGTGCTGGAGAAGAGTATTGAATGTACCATAGACTGCTAAGAAAACAAACAGATTCACCCTGGAGAGGGCTAACCAGGCTGCTCCTTAGAGGCAAGAATTTTGAGGCTTTGTCTGATATATTTTGGACATGTTCTAAGGGGGACTGGTCCTTGGAGAGGGACGTCATTCTTGGTAGGGTGGAGGGACAGCGTGGAGGGGAAGGCCCTCTATGAGGTGGATTGATTTAGTGACTGGGGTAATTGGGGTGGGTGTGTTGGAGACAGTGAGATTGGCACAGGACAGAGCAGAGTTTAGGGCTGTTGTACATATGGTCGCTATGAGTCGCAAACAACTTGACGGCACATAACAACAAAGTTGGTCACTACGCAAGTACTACTCATGTAGTATTATTTCTCCCCCAGGTATATTATTATTGTTACGTGCTGTCTAATCAGAACCAGCTCTCACAGGAGGAGGCTGGCCATATTTCTCATGCACAGCAACTGGTAGATTCTATGTGCCTCTGTGTTGGCAATGTAACATCACTAGGCCAGCAGAGCCCCCTCAGATACAGGCATGTTAAAACAGATACAAAATATTAAACATTTTTAAAGGAAGAAATAAGTGTCTCTAAATGGAGTTACTGTTAACCTACAGCTGCTCTAACATCTCAGTGGATCATCTTGTGTCCCCTTCTGTGGAGAACACTGGGATTGTTTATCTTTGGTGTCCCTCACACTCAAACCAACCATCAAGCTGCCACCACGTCAATTCTGACGCATGGTGACCCCACGTGTGTCAGCGTTCAACTGTGCTCCACACTGTTTTCATGGCTGTGACCTTTGGATCATCAGGCCCTTCTTTCAAAGCATCTCTAGGTGAGTTGGAACTATCCACCTTTCAGTTCACGTTAATGATTTTACCAGCCAGTGAATTCTCTTCCAACACCCGGGAAAGTGGCTAACACACAGTAGGTGCCTTGATATGTGGATTGAACAACAAAACTATAAACCGTGAATCTATGGTTTGTGTCAGAATAGGGATCACACACTTATCAAAATGACACACTTATCAGAATGTCTATTAGTCCAGGTACGCAAATAATCTAGAAAGACTTCTTGGAGGGAATGGACTGGGTAGGATCTGGAGGGAGAGAAGAAACAGAAAGGTTGCATGTGGAAAGACCTCCCACGCATGTATGCATGCTCCTAATTTCTCACCCTGTTCACCATGATGCTAGCACTATCCTTGAAGATGCAGAAGTCCTCTTCTGACACACTCTGAGAGGCATCCAGGAGCAGGTAGAGGTTCAGGTGACCAGAGCGCTGGATTTGGATTTTACGACCTAGATCTCCTGAGAGAAATACAGAAGGGAAAGTTTCAGATCTCCACCGCCTTCCACCTCCTTTCTTCTCCAGTCGCCTCAGCCCCTGAGGGTCCCCATCCCCTAGAAGGCTCCCTCCTCCCTTTAACTCTGTGCCCCAGTCTGTGGTGCTCACTGTTCTTCTTCTGGGCTGGATTGGTGGATCCAAGCACGTGGGACAAGGAGGAACCCAGGGCAGGGGCTACATCTTCAGGGAAGTCATAAGAGTAGAGTTCTGTGGAAAGAGGCGCGGTGGGGTCCGTGGGGCAGCTGAGGCTGGAGCCCAGAGTCTAGAGAAAGGCGGGGCAGCTACTCACGGCGGCAGGTGGGCTCTGCGCCGCTCCAGGCCCCGTTGTCCTGGCACTCCCGCTCCGCTGACCCTGTCAGCACCAGGTTGGAGGAGCAGCGGTAACTGACTTTGTCTCCAAGGTCAAAGCGGGATCCTGTTCTCACAGCGCCCACAGAAATACCCGGGTCCGGGCAGTGACCATCTGTGAGTAAACGAAGAAGAGAAAACTAAACTGAATACCCCAGTCTCAGCCTCTCTGCTCTGCTCACTGCTCTCTCATTCTAAGTTCTTCCTCTTTTCTAGACCCCCGCCCAAAGTCTCTGAGGGTCTCGTGCCCGGCCTATGGGAGACATCAGAAATATGTTTTCCAGAAGTAAAGATGCAAAAATCCTAGAACTCAGCAGCCTAGGTTGCCAGTTGGAGCAGAAACACCTCAACCTCAGCCCTAACTCCAGGGAAGCACATTGTCTTAGAGCCCGCGTCCTAAAATAGTCCCGCTCATGAGCCCACCTCCACCCACAACACTCCCTTCATAAAGCCACAGAGGGACATCACCACACACACATCAGGACATCGAAACGGAAAAAGATGAATAATAGGAAACAAAATGTGTATGAATGGTTGAATGGAAAAACAACCTGCTTTGTAAACTTCCACTCAAGGCCTAAATCCCACTCAAAGTCCACATGTAAATACGGCTCTGGGAATCCCGGGGCCTCCACTTGGGCAGAGCAAGCTCTGATCTTTGACGGGGGTGGGGGTGGGGTGTTGGGGGGGTGTTGGGGTTGGGGGGGTTGGTGACAGACAGGACCGTGTACTTGCGGTGTCCCCCTTCCCAGAGCCGAGGAGCTGTTCTCAATGCTTGCTAATGTTGACTCCTTTAGGATTAAAGAAGAGTTGATGCCTGTGAATTGTGCTGGCAGTGAGTATTGAATATATCACAGGCTACCCAAAGAACACACCAAGGTGTCTTGGAAAGACTGCAGACAGAATGTTCCTTAGAAATGAAGCTGAAAAAAGAAAAAAAGAAGTTGATGAAACTTCATCTCACATCCATCCTTTGGGCACAGTATCTGCAGAAGCCTGTGCCTGGAGAAGGACACCTTGCTGGGTAAAGAAAGGTCAGCGAATAAGAGGAAGACCCTTAATGAATTG